ATCACGCGTGTAAATTTAAATTAACCTACATCTCTAATAATAAACTCATTTCTCTCATTTTGCGAGTAAAAATATGCAAAAATCAAATGTTGAATTTCTAATATTTTCGTTGAAATTTAGTATAACGTTTGAAGAATCAAAAGGTTCTCGTGAACAAGGTAACAATGAGAGAACGCGAGCGGACTTACTCCGTGCGGATTTGGCGATCAAACTGAGCAAATTCTTGTATTCATCGGTGTCGGCTGTCTCCTGGTTGAAGCTCTTATGCGCCGGCGTTTGATTGAGCGCCGTATATACGGCGCTCAGTGTGAAATGACACTCGGAATTGCCTTTACTGCTGGCCATCTCGTGATTGTGAAACAGTAAACCGCAGATTTTCCATCCAAAACTGCGTAGAATATGTCTGAGCGCCTCACCCACCAAACGATGAGAGCCCATCATCCTGGTTAACGTCGGATAATGCTGGCCTTTATGACGGAATGCTTCCGCCTGTGCACCCGCTGTCAGTACGGGTATACCCCACACACCCGCGTACCTTGCCACGGGCGCGATCACGTAATCGCACACGGGGCCCAGGAAAGCGTCTGTTGCGATCCGAGAAGAAGATTCGGGAAATTGATTTATCGTACTTTGCGCTAGTTTCGCTGAAGTTAGTCGGGAGGCCCATTGTGAGTGCAAGACATCACGAAAAGCTCATTTAAAACCGAGATTACCGTGAAATATAATCTTTTAGAGGCTTTCTACAATAAGTCATTACCTAAGTTTTAGGTCTTAAACAGTAAGAAATTGACTAATTATAGTTGATTATTTTTCTCATATTCAACCATAAATCAATTTCTTATAACTTAAGACTTAAAAGTTAGGCATTGGCTTATTGTAGAAAGCCTATTATGATTACTTGTATAATGCCTTATATAAATAATCATATAAAAGATTGTAGCGCAGATAAAATGTCTCCACAGAAAGAACAATTTTGCTGAAGTATCTAAGAATAAAGCTAGATATAGATCTAAGAATAATTTTGTTGAGCCATTAAATAATGACGGAGATTAGGAATCTTAAGCACGATGAGTAATGCTTCAAAAAGTTTCGACATTCGAGTAATCAATTTGAGCGCCCGACATAATTATTTTGATGGTCCAACAACATTATTTTCAGATCTGTATCTAGCTAAATTTTTAAATGTTTTAGCAAAATCGTTCTTTCTGTATTTTCTAAAGCGATTTGTTTTCCTTCTTTTATATAGAAGAAACAGGTCACCCAAAGGATTACCGAAAGTTTAGTGCTTCGACTGAAATAAGTAGCGATCGTAATTCTAAAAGTCAGCTCTATGATTATATTTATAATTTATAATTTATCGTGAACTTGCGAATCGTCTATATGTCGTATACAGTTTTAAGTATGTAGAATCGAGTCCAGCTCTCGTGCCAGCTATGATAGAAAATGTAACGAAATAATACCACGTGCGGAAAATAGATAACACGGATCTGAATTTATGAATTCGAATATTGGCTCCGCGTTATAATCCTATCACTGTCACCTATATGATTCGATATGTCGATAACAAGTGTACATTGTTTATCAAAAAGATTTGGTTATACAAGACGTACAGTTGTACGCGGATTATACGGTTAATTAACGTATCGATTCGTGGACTCAATTAAATTAAGCTGGAACATTTCGTGTTCGCCCACATGGCTTACTCGCTAAAGGTATACTTAGATTATACCACAACCGATTACAGAAATGTCGATGTAAATCCTCCTTTTGGGAATACGCGTTTAACGATTATTAATATTGAATGTCCAACGGATACGTGACATATAAAGTGATATATAAAATATTCTCGCGAAATAAATGTCTGGAGAAATATGCTTAATACTTATTATTATGTCGGCAGCATATTGCACGTGGAGTTCACAATTCCCTACAACACTAAGGCTTGTTAGTCTTGTATCCATGTGTACCCACATCACATACATTCATATATATACATCATACAATACGTTTTTCAAATACACGTGCAATTAAAATCTCGCCAACCGATATATCGCGAGTCTGTGGTTAGCGAGGGAGAGCTCAACAATGTGAACATGTATACGAAGATAATAGAACGACCGGTTAATTAAATAGATTGTTACTCTCCCGCTGTGCAAGAAACGTTTATTGTCTACGGGATTTTGAATTAAAGGCGAATCAAAATTCCATTATTTTCTACATAATACTCGTTGTAATTAATAACATTAGCTTCGTACTAAATGTAGTATGGACAAAGAAATGGAGACGTTTTATTAATTGATCTCATATAAAAGTTTATTCTTATTTGCGAAATAACTACTACAAAAGATATATAGATAGTAAAGACGCACGTTGACGCATTTAGCCTATTGTTGAAATTAAAGCATATCAGTTTTTACAAGCAACAAGTTTCCAACTGTATTCGCTTGATTTATGTTAACTCCGCATTAATAATAAGCCGCGCGACCTGAAACTAAGCTAAATTCCCGCGCGTTTAACCGCAAGCAATGCATCTCTATGAAGTCGCGGTTCTAATTAGTAATCACGGATGATATTGCGTCGATATTCAATTTCGCACAAAGGTAAATATTAGCGTGGAATAATCGGTCGACACGGAACGACATACACCCATATTTAAAATGCATTAATTCGTACTGACAGCAAGCCGAATTCCCGTGCGCTCAATTTAGAGCTTTCAATCTTCGTCGATTGAAGCTATACTTAATATGATAATAACTGCGTCAGGTTACCTAGCGTCATTGTGGCTGCAAATTCCAGCATAAAGCGGTTACGTCCGATTAACGCCGCATGCATCCCCAATGTCGCTGGCGGCCCTGCATGTGGTCGCTTTTATCCAACAAGACTGCCAAAGTTATTGGAGTTTATGGCAATTATACGCTGTGCGAAGATTCTTGTGGAAACTTATAAGACTCGATCATCGTAAACGGATCATGCATTAAGTCGCTCGTATCTTTGTTAATATTTTACTTTTAACAGTATCTTACGTAATTTTAAATTATTTTTTTATGCAATTTGTTTCACAATTAATTTTATTTATTATCTAAACGTTGATTATCTTACGTAATTTAATTTGGGGCTTAATTTTGATGAGATTTAACGTAAATATGAATTTACACATCTAATTACAAAATTTTTTATTAATTAAATTTCAAGATTAGATATCGACAAAAAAATTATACAAAAAGTTTGCGACAAATAATTGCTTCCCATTAATTATTAAGACTAAATTGACTTATTATATATCATTCTTATTACAAGGTTGTACTTCGTACATTTCTTGTCTTAGCACGATACATACGTTCTGTAGTATCTGCGATAATGTAAAAAAATCTAGTGTAAAAACAGATTGTATTTCAGTATAAATCGTTGTTCAATATATAATAGAATGCACTTTTTAAAAGTGCATATCCTGTTAAAACTTTTCTTTCATCGGATGAATAAAAACTTGTTCTGTGCGAGGCTCTAAAACCTGAGAGCCTGAAAACGTGACTCGTAAATTCGGCCGAAAATTAAGCCGCGGATGACGAAGTGCATTCCTGATGGTGATGAGTTATTGTATTCACATGCCATATTGTAGCAGGTATACTACTAATATTTTCGTGCAGAGGTTATACAGGTATAGTTTTGCATAAATAAACGAGACATTTCGCGAATTTTACGACGTAAACACACGCTTAATACAGATCGTGAAACGAATAAAAAGAGAATTTTACGAGTGTGATTTATTTATGTCGATTTGATGAGGAAGGATAAAATCATGAATAATAATTCTTAATCGATATTTTTAAAACGTTGACAGATTAAGTGTTGTAACGATATGAATCAGTAGATATTAATGATAAAGATATTAATTTACGAGAAATATAAAAGTGTATATTACATAAAATATGTTTGTATTATAAAAAATTAATGTATTATGTATAACATAAAATTATTGACAGCTATCAAAAAGTGCAATAGGATTTTATTAAGATTGATTATTTTCATATTTTATTAAAATTTGTTTAGTTGAATTCTTATTTCTTAATCTAAAAGAAATATGATGTATAATATATACAGCTGGCTCAGATATTTTAAATTCTCCTCATAGACTCGATACTATTGTAGGCAGATTTATTTTTATCTTTGCAGAATTTTCTCCAGATTTTCTACCCTTTAAACTCGAATACAGCAACAAGTGTTTTGTACGAAAATTATCTACTCTCTAAATTCTAAGTACGTAGATATGCGCTGCAGGGATGAACTCTGAGTTAAAGATAATCAAAGACACGTTCTATCTATGAAAGCCCCATCAGCTTTGGGGGTAAAGGCTATTCTCGTCACGTACTGCTGACTTAGCGCGAAAACTCAATTTCATTATTACTTGCTCAACGTGATTTTTGTCGAGTGAGAGATAGTATCATGGATCACATCACTTTGTAATTATCGTTGGCTACCGCAATGCGCACAAACCTCAGAGTTATTATATTCTTTTGCGATTGCAGCGTAATAAAAAAATGTAGATAGGTAATAACTTTTCTAATTCTGGATTTAGTGTATTAGTAAAACCATTATTTCTTTACGTATAAAATATTTCAACAAATTAAATTTTGTTTAATTCGTAACATTCGTACATCATTCGTTTCACTATAACTAGGTAGAGAGGATCGCGTATATATATTTTGTTGTACTTCCATGGTTGATTATATAGAGTCCGTATGTGTGTACAGTGTATATATTTTTTATTTGTACACATATATATATATATATATATATATATATTATATATATATATAAAGTTAATATATTAAAATATAACATAAAAATTTAACATTTACTTTAAAAATGTGAGGAAAAAAGAATTATACTTACAAAAGCTCTTGTTTTCTGTCTTTCAAACGAAATAAGGAGATTCTGGGAATTATTATTACGATTTTGGATATCTCGGATTAAACCTCATGACTAATGATAGAGCGGTTCCATAATTCCGAGTAATTATACTCGCACTGCATTATCTACTTTAGCTATTCTCTAAATCATGGACATAAATTCATGTTTCTTGTAATTTATACTGGGAATGTAATGTCATCAAGCTACAATCCAATTTTATTATAAAGATACGTGCAATCGTAAGAGAAAGACAGTGATTATTATCTTGTGTTGTGACAATCATCAATAAAAGTAATGAATAGACAAATGCAAATTTCATGTTGTATTAATATGTAAGTAAGACTAAAAAATATTTGTCAATTCATGAATTAAGAAAAAATTTTCTTGTCTCATTATTTTTAAAAGAGAGAAGAAATATTACACTAATATTGTAACATCTTATATACATTATGACATTTCTTATAACATTTTGTGTTTTGTGTGTGTGTGTGTGTGTGTGTGTGTGTGTGTTTGTGTTGATACACCTTGAAAAATATATTAAACTTAAAATACAATAACCAGCTCTCACTTTTTCTGAAGAAAACAGTCGAAGAGAATGAAACGCAAAGTTTTGTGGTGAATAATAAACGCTGAGAGAACGTGCAACGAGACCGCGTCTCATTAAAAACTAAACTGC